TCTCCCACAACAAACACCTTACGTTTTGTCTTGGGGAGAGCAGGGGCGGTAGCTGCAGGTGGGCCCATGTTGCCTGTGGGGGCTGGCAACTCAGCAGGCTCTGCTGGGGCAGCAAGAGATGCGTACCTGTTGCTCAGTTCTGGTCGGGGAGGGGCCTTGGTGCGACGGGCCTTAGAGCCCTTGACCACCTTGGTCCATGCACCTGGCTGGACACAGCAGGAGGTCCCAAAGTCCTCCTTTGGCGTGGAGGGGGACTGTGGTCTACCCTCTGTCTCCCGGGGGAGAAGGGCCCGGCAGTAGGAGTCTATCTCCTGCTCGCAGTCCCTGATGGCACGCAGTCTCTGGACTGTGTCCTGGAGCTCCTCCAGCTGGCGCGCCAGAGACCCCAAAAGGGAGCAGACCCCACAAGGAGAGGTCACCATGCTCCCAGGCCCCAGAGTCTGAAAAAGGGACAGGCAGCCCCAACAGCCGAGAGCCAGGGGCTCCGTCTGCGTGGAGCCCGGAACCAGGGGCTCCGTCTGAGTTGTGCCTTCTGCTGCTGCTGGGTGGGGAGGGGGTGCCTTACCTCAGCGGTCATGGTGGTGCTCCTTCCCATGCTAGGTCCTGCCTCCTAGGCCATGGAGGCAGCTCCTTTGGAGCTGGTCCGGCCCAGCTGCAGCCCTGCACTCCACTGTGGGCACAGAAATCTGGAAGGGAACATGCTTCCCCCTATCACATTGCCTTCCCCCCTCCCTGACACACTGCTTGTTCTCCCTAGCTCCCCTGATGTGTTGCCTGTGCCCTTCCTGCCTCCCCAACGCATTGCCTGTGGCCTACCTCCCCACCCCTATAGACTTACCTGGAAGGAGCTGTGGAAGCTGCTTTCTACCACCCTGCCTGACTGCCAAGTGCATGTGTGAATGCGCCCATGCACATGGCACGGGCACCCTCTGCATCCTGCTCCCCCCAGCCCTAAGCAGCCCATTGCAGGCTGGAACTTTGCCAGCCTGCAAGGGGGAAACCTGCAGCTTCTTACGTTTTTCTCCTTTAAAGGGGAAAATCTGCATGTTTGTCTGTTAAAGGAGAAAATCCATGTTTTTCCACAGCAAACAGAAAGCCTGGATCCCAGGTTTTGAGTTAGCGATTAATCTATCCCGGGGGGGGCAAAATACAGCCTGTGGGCCAGATCTGGCCGGCAAGGCCATTCTATCTGGCCCACAGGACCCCTAAAAAATTTAGAAAATTAATATTTATCTGCCCTTGGTTTTTGTCAAAAATGGCAGGAGCCTGGGGCAGTAGGACCCAGGGGAAGCCCTGGTGGGCTCCCACAAAAGCAAGGCCTGCCCGGCCCAACCCCCTAAGCTGGAAGTCTCTGCAGGGGCTTCTGGCCTTGGACCTAGCTGCCCCGGCTGCACCGGCACCGTAAACTCAGGTAAGGGGGGGCGGCCCTTCACCACCCCATGGCTAGCGCTCCCTGCCGCAGCTGCTCACAGCTCGCAGGGGGCTGTCCTGAGCAGGCACAGGCAGCCCCACGTGGACTGCAAGCAGCTGCAGCTCAGGGCGCCAGCCATGGAGCGAGGTAGGGGCCGCTTTTTCCCCGCACTCAGCACCAGCTTGTAACCCACCCTTGCTGCGAGCCTGGGCCCCGTGCCGGCTCTGGGCTCCCCATTGGGGTTGCGCTGTGGTGGGAGCAGCTGTGGCCTCCCCACTTGCCATGCTGGGCAGCGTTTGCTGCTGCTGCCCACCCGAAGCTCACACGCTGGGCAGCACAGAGGCGGCAGTGGCAAACGCTGCCCGGTGTGGCAATCGGAGGGGCCACAGCTACTGCTGCTGTGGTGCAGCCCTGATGCAGAGCCTGGCTCAACACCACCTTGTAACCCAGTTACAAGCTGGTGTTGAGCGTGGGGAAAAGTGGCCCCTCGCCCGCCCCATGCCAGGCGCCCTGTGCTGCAGCTGCTCACAGCCCACCTGGGGCTGCCTGTGCCTGCTCCGGACAGGAGTGGCTGCAGCAGGGAGTGCCAGCCACAGGGCGGGTGAGGGGCCACTTTTCCCCAGGCTCAGCACCAGCTCCTTCCCTGCCAGCGAGCAGGGGGTCGGGGCTGCACACTGCCCCCAACCTGTACTGCGGGGCTGTGGGGGGGCACTGGGAGTGAGCAGGTGCATGGGGCCCACACCAGTGACCTGGGGCCAGCGCTGGTGGGGCCCAGAGCAGGGAGGCAAAATTACAGGGTCCTGGCTGGCAGGGGCTCTGTGGAGCTGGGCCAGCTGCCCCCTCCCCTTGCTGGTGCAGCACAGCCCAGCTCCACAGACCCCTGCCAGCCTGTGTCCTGCTTTGGACCCCACCAGTGCTGGGGACCCCACTGTACTAGGGAACAGTCTGGTGACCCTCCCTGTACAGTGTGATGGGAGTACAGAGGGCTCCTTCCCACGTGGCTGCTCCTTCAGGCTCTAATGCTATTTGAAGTGCAGCCCAAAGCACCTTTACTGAGAAGGAAAATAAGAGAATAGCACTGGCATTGATTTATGATCTTGAACACTCATTTTTGTGACCAGATGACACTTGCAGCCAGTGCAGGAGTATACTCCCCAACACATGGTGGATCATTTGTTCAGTGGAGAAGGCAAAGGAGGACAAAGCATCTGAGGCCTCTTCTAAAACATCTTGACATGGATTTACCCACCTCTCGCTTTGAAATGTCCATTAAGACAGCAAAGCTGGTCATGTGATTGCACTGGCAAGCAATATGGCTCTGATTTCTGGAGTAAAGTTCACATCCCTTGGAGGACCAGCCTCCTGTCATGCCAATTCTGTTGAATGAAGCAAACACAAGCAAAATCATAAGCTTCGCTGTCATCTGAGAATATCCAGCTCAGGCTGCTTCCACTATTCATCCCACATCCCGCTGACAAGGGCAGATCCAGAGGGGGTATGGTGACACCATCACATCCCCCTTTGGCTGTATGCTGCATGTGCAGTGAACCCTCTGAGCTCACTGGCATGTCAGTGCATCTCCAGGTGAGAGCACTTGCATATGCCATGACCCCTATGAGCTCACCAGCTGGTTGGCATGGGGTCTGCCCAGACCTCCTGCTTGCACGCAGCTCTGGAGCCCAAAGGGTGAGCACTGCTGCTATTTGCTTTTCCCCTCCCTCTTGAATTCAGCAGCAGGGGAAAAAGAGGGGATGAGTGGTAGATAGCAATTTTCAGTCCCTGCTTTCATACAGCCCAGCCACCACAGTTGCTTGTCCCCTCTTTTCTCCTGCTGCTGAATTCAGGGAGGGGGGAGGAAGGGGACAGATGAATCACAGCAATGCACAGTCTCTGGGCTCTGGAGCTGTATGCAAGTAGGGGCTCAGGGCAGTCCCCACATCAATCGGCCGGTGAGCTCAGAGCTTGTGGCACAGGAGCTGCACTGACATGCCAGTTCTGAGAGCCCATTGACATCCAGAACCATGGCGAGGGGTTGCAGACACATCTCCTTTGGAGGTATGGAGCATGTGCAGTGAGCTCTTCGTTATGCATGGGCTATATCCCTGAAGTGGGTGTGGCTGTACCTCTGTCACCACAATCCTGGATTTACCTATGCCTATCCATAATACTAACTGCTGAAGCAACTCCTGCTCTTAGACTGGAGACAACAGTTTCCAAGAGTGAGTTAAATACTTTTCTTTTCACTGCTAAGAACCCAAAGAACACTATCAAGGAAAACCCAAAGAAAACAATGAGTTAGAAATAATGTTTCCCCCTGTTTGTTACTGCCAATTTTGGGGGTCTTAAAAAAGTATTTGCTGATGTAATGTTTTTAAATTTCTTCTTTGCCAATTTGTGTAAGCGATCCACACAAACAGCAGCAGAAATGGACTGACCGCACAGGGCATCAGATGGAACTGACCATAAACAAAGTGCTGTCAGTTGTGAAAATACAGAGCAATGTATTTTCCCTCCAATTTCTCCATTTCAGTAATCTTAGCTGTTACTTGCAACAATCATACATGTTCATATAGAAACATGGTTTTAAATTGGGTGTATTCCTTTACACTAGACTGGAAAATATAGGGAAATATGCTGTGGATAGCAATGTGCTAAATCAGGGATTATGCTGTGCTAGCACCAAAGAGGAACATAAAACTTGAAAAGTCTTCCCACCTCCACCTGCTATAATTCCACTGACTTCAGAGATTAATTTGTCCACTTACCTACTATTCTGTTCTGCAAATTAATTACTAAAAATACTCTGGTATTTATTTTAAGGAATTTGAATGAGATATTAAGAGTGACCTTTTTGTTTGTCACTGAAATATTTCAAAGCTGTGTTTGAAGTTAATTCTTCCCTTTATATACAGTTAGGTTAGTTTATATTCTTTGGTTACAAGAAATGTCACAGTCAGGTAGTGAAGAGGCCACAAATAGACTATAGTTCCAGTGCAGAAGGCACCACCAAGGAAGTAGCAGGTTGACCCATTTAACTGAGTTATTCTAGCCCCCATTATTGCTGCAAAACTTTAAGACTACAAGAACTGACATTCTGTCATTTGAGATACAATCAGCTGTTCACAGAACCAATTTTTTATGTCGTCAAGAAAATTTATCTTAACTTTGTCCTGAGATGACCTAGGACCAGTTCATATGTAGGTATATGGAATAATTTATTGCTACTGATTTATTAGATTTCTGTTGCCTCTTTGATCTTTCTGAAGATAATTCACTCAGCCTGTCTTCCCTGACGAGGAAGCCTAGTTGTATAATCTACCAGTACATTTCCACTTTCAAGATTTAGAACGTGCGTTTTTACATGCACTTTAATTTGAATAATGCAGAATTATTAATTGCATCATCATCTCTTTACATAACATTTGTCACTCATTTTCCTCAAACCTTTAAAGTATCTTGCACAGAACTGCATTATAGAACCCCAAGCCAAAAAGTGAACACAGCTCTCAGTATCTTCTTGCATGTTTAAGAAATATTTGTGTAGATTTTCAACTAGGTTCTACACAGAATATGAAACTAGAGACTAGACTTTGGTCAGATCATTTGTTCTGATTCATCCCCTACTTCACGTTATGCAAATCAGATGCAGAAACTGCAACCTTATCCTGGTGGGCTGAAAGATGGAAGGGGAAAAGGTCAAAGGTTCCAAAGAAGACACTTCCTACCCACCCACTCCCACATATCCCTCATTTTTCAGTAAAATAAATGAAGACAAATAAGCAGAGGTGCACAGGAGAAAGGCAAGTTGCTTATTTTTTGTACAGTTGCCTTGGGCTAACTCAGGTGTGCAAAATTACTGGGATGTCTGCGGTTTAGGCTTGATTGCAATAACAAAAATTACATAGTTTGCACAATGTGAATCTGTAACTAGAGGATCATCTTTTGCTTCCTGGGATTTTTATATTTATCCTGACTTGTGGAAAGAAATTACACTATTACCATATATCTGATTGCATGAACAAACTTAGAAAAAAGGACCCATGTTTACCCCCAGACCAAATATCTTTCACACTAAGTGCACTGCCCTCTCTCTCCCTTTCAAAATATTGAAGAAATCAACAAACATACGCAATTGAGTGGTTCCAGAATACACAGGCTGGCTTAGTTCTTTCCTCTGTTTCGAGCATGGCATATTCCAGTATAATGGGCTTTTCCAGTGGGTTTGATAGAGGCTCCCCATCATCATGAATGGTGGTACTCACTACAGGTGTGTTAATAATGGGTCGGTTTGGTAACCTAGAGGAATAACATCAACATGCAAAAAGACTTCAACATTAAAATACAGAGGTCAGATTTTGCAGGTGCTGCATATGAGTGACTCACATTTAGGAACTGCAGCAGCTATTCAGTCAGACCCCAAATTATTCAAGTGTCTAGAGCCTAGCAGTACTGACCTGGCTGTGCTCACACAACAGAGTAGAGCAGGACAAAAGGATGACAAATATGCAACCAATTACTTCTACAGGAATAAATGCATTACAGCTGACAGTGGAGAAATATAATTGCAGCATAAGAACTGCTCCGCCTCTGCCTAGCACTCACAACAAGAAACAAGGATTCTCTAAGTTTCAAAGTTTACCTCAAACTATAAAGTTTACCTTAAGCTTCTTCGGTCAGGATCATAGTTCTCAGGTAAAAGTTGTCCTAGGGCTCGGGAAATAATCACTAATAGTTCTCAGGTAAAAGTTGTCCTAGGGCTCTAGAAATAATCACTCCAGCCACAGCATACTCATTTGACTCAGTTGGGTGTCGCTTCCTTCTCTTTGTAAGTTCATTCTCAGTGTTTAAGATGCCATTACCCATCTTAGATAATTTTTGGTTCGAAGGCTTCAGTGTGGGAACTGCTACAAAATTAACACAAACATCACGCTAACACTGCCATCAGCACTTTGGACTTCCATTTAAACTGGTGCTTTTGTTTGACATGGCCTCGGTAATATTCAGGCCCTAGTACTTGTGGAAGCATAGTACTGAGCATGCCCTTAATACTATGTTTATTAATAGTTTATAAGACCACATAAAATATTCTATAATCACTACTGATAATCAAAAAAACACTGAAGTACCTTTCAATAGGGTTATGAAACAAACAGTTCCTGCACTAGCATATATGTACCTAGAGAAAGATATGTAATCAAAGGAGATGCCAGTGGCTGCATCTATACATATGCTTTCCTGTGGAGTAAACTAATTAGCTCAGCAGTAATTTGTCACCACCTACTCGTGTGCAGTACACCTACACTGTCTACATGGACGCAGTGAACTAATTACTGTCAGGGACAGTACTATCTTACGCCGGAGTCATTTACTGTGCTAAAACACATGTGTAGACAGTGACCGGGCAGGCCAATTTCCTGCCTACCACCTAGCTACATGGCTTCACAAGGTCAGCACCCTCGTGCCTCAGCCAGCTTGTCTGCCACTGGATGCCATCACCCGGAGCCTGGGGGTGACCCCCTGTACCCCCTGCCCGCCCAGCTCTGCTCCTCTCCAGCTAAAATTGCTGCTGTCCCAGGTGCATGAGTAGACACTGCAACTGGGAGCAGTTTATTTTGGCTCAAACAACTCTGGAATTTACTGTTTCACCTTAATTTCATGTGTAGATGCACCCAGTGGGCCCGTTGACATGTGCTATTAATGTGACTGAATAAACTCCGCTGCAGTTTATTGCTCCTGGACACCATGTTTACACGTGTGCCTGGGACTGCTGAGCTGGGCTGGACCACCCCTGGCTGGCAAGGAGCTCAGGGGGTCAGCCTGCCAGCCTGGGGTTACTCTGACTTAGCTCAACATGCTGTGCAGGGGCTGACTGGGCCATGAGGGTGCTCCAGTGTGGGATTATCTGGCAGGCAGCCCTTGCTGCCTGCCAGATAACACCCTCATGCCCCAGCCATCCCCCATCAGTGTCTACATATGGGTTGCAGCACACTAAACGCTGCCACAGGATAGTACTTGTGTTTACAAGTACTAACCTATGGTGGCATTTATTAGTTGACTGAAACCTAAGAGGCCACACATGTAGATGCTGAGACTCCTGCGGAGCTAACTGGCCAACTCTGCAGTAAACGTCTTGTGTACACACGTCCAGTATGCATTACCCTTATTATTCTGCATGTGCCCTGGGAGATGTATAGTAAACTGTGTATCTTTTCCCAATGCAAAAAGAATGAGCCTGTGAAAGTACTTTCTCTAAACTGGCACTGCAAGATCATGCACTTTCTATTTTGTGGTATTGCTTTTCCTATACAGAAAAGATATATAGGTATAGGGCATAAACCATTTCTAAGAAAAATCTTTCATGACAAGTGTATTTTCTTATAATGTGCTATTTGTATTCTGGCTACTCTTTTTATACTGAGGATATTCAACTGCACATTGTTTCATCCACATATAACTTTGACACCTTTAACATCTTGACACTCCTCAAGACATTACCACCGTGACCAAGTATCCTGTAGGTTTCTTCTAAAGTTTCTTCAGATGTCTCTCAGACCGAGGTGGATTTTCAAACACACTCTGCACCTGCCTGTTTGATTTAAACCTTTTATTGGCCTTTATTTTTGACTAATTTGGAGAGTTCAAAATCCAGAATGGAGCTATCTACATCATTCACCTCTCCCTGCGAATTTCACAGGATGTGTGTAAATTTGTCTTTCATCAGCTCTGCCCATGTATGCCACCAGATTCTGGACACCAGTTCTGCTGAAATTCTCACCCATGCTTCAGATAAGAGATTAAGCATACCTGATGGCCCATGGGTTTCACTTACATATTGCAGAATTTATAAAAATCCTAAAGGAGCAGGGCTATGTTACTTCTACACCTGGGTGGCTAGGAAACAAGTGCTGTGTATAGAATGCACAGTTGTCTCTCACTAGAAGTTTTTATTAGTCTGCAGGAATTCCTTTTATAATAATACATATTTGCTTCCCTTCCAGAATCACCTTGGATCTCTCAAGGTTTGAATGGTAAAATCTGAGCTGTCTGGTTTCCAAAGAACCCTCATCATTCTCTGTACTGTAGATCAGTTTATAAGAGACTCCCTTTCTTAGGCAAGATTGACAAGTTGTCTGCATTAGGGCCAGCTATAATTAGGATGTTTGGGCCAGGATCCCTGTGGATGGGGAAGGAGCTCTGTCATCAATGCTAAACTGCTTAGGTGGGGTCTCCTCTGGGTGGAACAGACAGGACCACTTCTCTACAGAGTGACAGAGTAACATTAAGGGCTTTTTGCTACACTTGACATACAGGTAGAGCAGGTTTCACACCCTGGCATACTCTCTTTAGTGACTTTATGCCTTGCAGGTATACAGAGCCACTCCATCGCTATGAATATGTACATAACTGCCCAATACCTTCCCAAAACAGTTTATCCTCACAGGAGACTTAGCTGATCCTTTGGGGCTGATCAGAAATGCCTTCAAAATATCCGGAGAATGGTTTTACCTTTTCTTTCTGAAGGTTTGAACAAAGCATCAGGGAACAAAACGGATGACTCCAAATCTTTAGGATAATCTTCTTTAATCTCATCAAACTGTGGCACTTTAGCTCCCGTAAAATTAGACTTGTCAAAGATGTCAACAGCAATAACTAGGAAAAGAAAGGTTTCCCATAAGATTAACTTTATTTCAATCAACGATCGCATTATCTAAAAGTAAAACTTGACTGAAAGGTTAGAAAATCCATATGACATACAGAAGAAATTTGAACTAAAGAATATAATAATGCAAATATGCTCTCCTTCACTAAATAGTTTCAGTGATAGTAAAGGCATATCTTTTAACATTACTATAAAGTGTATGTGTGTATATATATATATATATATATATATATATACACACACACACACACACACACACATATATATATATACACATACACACACACTTACACACACACACACAGACTACAAATGTATATGGATTGCATACATAATTGTAAAGGAGTTCACAGGAATTTTATACTAGTAAAGTACTTTTTCTGATTTGAACTTTGGCCATGTAAAATGGCAGATTCCAACTCAGTATACTTGCTTTTTGCATATATTTAAGGCAAGATCTTCTGTAAACTTATTGTACTGGGAAGGGTGGTAGGACAGAAAAAAAGAGGAAACAGAAGGCTGGGAGTCGGCAAGTATGATGTCTATTGCCAGTTCTGTCAGTTCATAACATGGCTCTGGAGAAACAACTGCCTTATTTTCTTCAACTGAAAACTGGGGATAACAATACATTCCTTACTTATACAAATATTGTATTATTTTTTAGGGGTTGTAAAGTGCTTCAATAATATCTTTGGATGGGAGATGAACTAGCATGGTATTGTATTATGTGGTTACTGAATTGGGAATTACTTATTATTTTGTGTGTGAAATATAGCATGGTGGTCAGCAACAGCAGAATTTAGCCATGCAAAGTGCTGCAACTTCATCTCAAATTAACAGCAATATAAATTGCCAAAACAAGAGACTGACCTTGTGAAAGTTAATGTAGAAAAGCAACAGTATTCTCTTACTCCTTGGGTGCATCTACACATGCATTTACTCCAGCTCAAATTTACTCTGGTGTAAACTACTCCAGAGTAACGGTTTTGGGGCAGGCATCTACACATGTGGTGATTAAGGAGCAGATTTACATCCAGTTCCCTAAAGCCCTGCAATGGGCCCCTGCTGGCACTGGGGGGAGCTCCAGGCTCTCCCTAGATGCTAGCTCAGGGGCTGGCAGGGAGCACAGGGTCAAGAAACAGCTTGCTGCTGAGGCATGTACAATGTCCCCCTAGCCCGACAGCAGGGAGCTCTTAGCCTTGGCTCCCCAATCAGTGGCACCAGGCTTGGAAAGAGCTGGAGGGGATGGGCAGGTCCCAGCCCCCTGGTCCAATATGCCTGTGGGGTAGCTAGCAACTAGCTTGCTGTTAGCTGCCCCACCAGTGGATTGGGGTAGTGGGCTGGGAGTTATCCCCCCTGCAGACCCTTATCTCCCAGCCTGAGCCCTGCGGTCATGGAGCTTGGGCTGGGAAACCCTTATCTAAGGGTCTCCTAGTACCCCACTTCCCGATTGTGATGGTGAAGTGGGAGCTGGGAGATAAGGATTTCCCAGCCCCTGCTCCCCAATTGTGATCTGGGAGCAGGGGGCTTGGAGCTCCCTGCTGCCAGGGTGGGAGGACATAGTCCCTGCCTGGGCTCCTATGGCACAGCCTGCCCTGGCAGCAGGCAGCTCTGGGGGCAGGGAGCTATCTCCTGGCCTCTGGCTGATCAGATTTTACTCCCGGTCAGGCATCTGCATGAGTGCTATGGCATTGTTACTAATCTCGAGTAAATCTGTTACTTGCATTTGCAGGTAGCAAATTTACTTTGGAGGAGGGAGGGTTACTGATAACTAAGCATGTGCCCATGTAGATACACATGCTTACTTTGCAGTAAACTATGCTACGCCCCCCTGTGTACTAAAGGCCTGATGCAATGGCTTAGTTTTGGTACTTCACTATGAAAGCCAGGTGGGACAGACTCCTAGCCACAGGGCCTTGTCCTTGGAGGGGTCATGGATGGGAATACTTCCCAGCCTTCCCTAATTCCTGCGCCTTGCATTCTTAGCTAGCCTGTGGCTCCTCATCATCACCTCTACCTATTGTATAGCTATTAAAAGCGTTTAACTGCAGCTGAGTTGCTCCGTACAAAAATAAGACCTTCAACTACGAAATTCAGGCTTTTTAATAAAGGTTAAAAGTGAGAAGCTGGAACTCTGGAGGGTAACACTACTGAAAGCTGTGGCCCACTGCAAGTTTTGACAGGAAGAAATATCTAAGTGAAGAACTGCAAACTCCCACACCTCCCCTTGTCTCTAAAGAACTCCTAATAGTCAGCCCTATTAAACACAGGGCTCACCTGGAAAAAGTGCTTGAAAGAAAACAGAAACTATTCTGAACAAAATTGCCGCACCACCTGGAAGTAATATCCAATTCTCAGTATTAGCAGCACTCAGCTTGCCTTCTAGCTCAGGTTTCCAAGCTAGAGATCAGGGAACCCTTTCAATGTCCAGTTACGATAGGCAAGGGATAAGTGAAAAAATGTTTGGAGGAAAACAGAAAGGGGCCCTACCCCTCTGACCAGCATCCTTGAGCTTTTTCTCCGACACACTTGTATTTAGGATGCTTACCTAACAGAAAATTATAGTTTCTAACATAGCTACTTACTCATATTTGCAGCAACAATAACAAAAGGTTTCAGGTAAGTTTTCTTCATGTTTTGTGCCACATTGCTAAAATATTCCTCATAATGTTTCAGCAGGTGAGCTGTGCCACCCTCCGTTCTCTGAATTTGTTCCCAGAGTCCCTTGTTACTGGCGTCCAGAAGGGCACTACCCACTTTTATGATATTCTGAGAAGAAAAATAAAATATAAACTTAAATCATGAGAAAATATAACTGAGGCAGCTAAATGAATTTAGTGTATTAGATGTCACATGAAGAGTATTTAAAATGAACACTGCTTTCGGTGGGCACACAGCAAAACATCTCAATAAACCTTATTAAAAAACTGAACACTTATTAGTCACCCTCAGGTTGTTTTACTTACAAGAAATCCTTTAAAGCTTTTCATAAGCAACTGGGGCCAAGATCGGAGATTATGAGAGCTGTATTTTTTTTCTTTTAAAGACGAAAGCTGTCAAGAAAACTTAAAAGAAAACCTAACCATATTGGCTTTTGCACCTCAAAGAGATGAGAGACAGGACAAGCAGAGACGACTTGCTAGGAGCATTAAGAAACTCCCCTAGGGAAGTTAGAGAACTATGACTTGCTAAAAATTCAACTGCCAACAGAAAGAAATAGACAGAAATACCTTATTTTACAAAGGCTAACTTAGTTTTATTTTGTAAATTCCTTAATGATTCTACATAATCAGTCCCTGTTTTCAATTTTCTGAGGAATGTATATAATAGGTTTGGCAAAAATGTGTCTTAATTTCCATGTACAAAATTAACACCTCCACTGTCAATTTTTATCTTGCGTAAAAATATTCTGTTGGACAAAAGCAGCTCTAGATAAAATCTTGACTACTCAGTTCTTTACTAAACTAAACAAACTAGTACATGAACCCTGAGACAGAATGGAACAGCAGTAAATAGACTAATACTTAGGCTTGAAGTATGAACACTAAAGTCCTAAAAGCACTCAAATCTTGGTGCAAATGTAGAACACATCACCATGCTGTATTGAAAACTTTATTTATGAGGTTAAATATGGATAAAATTATAATAGGATTTAAATCAAACTCTTAACATTCATGTGCATACAGCTAGAGCAGAGGCAGGTAATTATTGTGGGTGGAGGACCACTTACCAAGCTTTGGCAAGCTGTCAAGGGCCATGCTTCCTTTTCTGGAGTAGGGAAGCAGGAACAACCCCACGGTACCAGGCCAGAAGCCTCTGCTAGGCAGGGGCTTCTGGTTTGGGGGTAGGGCAAGGCCTTGCTACTGGGTCCTACTGCTGGCTTCCCCTAGGTCCTGTATGCCCCTGGCTCCTGTCATCTTTGACAGGCAGCCAGGAGCAAATAAATATTAATTTTCTAAATGTTTAGGGGCCCCATGGGCTGGATAGAATGGCCTGGCAGGCCGGTTCCAGCCTGCAGGCCATATTTTGCCCACCCCGAGCTAGAGGCATAACAAAATAGTTCAGTGTCCAGGGTAGCAAGATGTATGGGAGCAGCAGCAAGTTCTAGCTGCCTCTGGTACAATTGTGTGGATATGGTAACAGCCGATATGTCCAGGACAGCTGTCCCAGTTACCCCACCTTAGCGAACTACTGCATATAGCCAGTCTCCTAAAAACTCCTACTTGCAAGGGGAGGGGCAGACCAGAGCTGTGTAACTGTCCTCAGGCACATGAACTGAACAGGATTCTGGAGCACTTGTCTGAAACATACTAACTTGAATTCTTTGATTCCCCATGGAAATACTTCATTGTAAATTTAAAAAAATGGAAACAGCAGTTTGCTCTTTTCTGGTTTGTACTTCTACTTAAAAGAAACAAAATTAAAGTCCTCTTGCTTTTCAATCTCAAGGTTTGGGTGTAGAAATTAATTCAAATCCAGTGCCGGAAGCTAGAAGGTTTTTGACAAAGCACCTACTTTAGAGAACTAAAAAATAATGTCTCAAGACCAGGGGAATCTAAAAAGTTAACCATTTCAAAGGTATGCATTATTATTTCTTAACTGAATTGCATAAAACATTGAGGAATTTTATTTCTTAGTGAGGAATAAATTTTATTCCTTAATTACAGGGAATTCCATTTTTAGTAAGATCTTTTTCAGGTATTTAGACACCATTAGCTTCAGATGTTTGTTGAGTCAGTTAAGGAAATAAAAGGATTATTACTGTAGGTACAAAATCATAAGAAAAATATTTCAAAAATTCTGTGTGGTAAATATGGCCACAATATTAGTTGATTTCTAATGAAAACAATGCACAAAATTCCAGGGCTGGTAACTGGCCAAATAACAATTTGTTTTTAATTAGAATCAAAGAAATATAAGATTTGTGATTGTGTACATATTTCCTGTTTATATTTATACTGGAAATTATAGGCCAGGTCTGATACAGGTATCGGTATGAATTGATTTTATAGCTCAATTATTTTCTTGTCTGGAGAGTTCTGTTTTTTGGCAGTACTTTATTGGTATCTATTGGAATATGGAATATACACCATTATTCTATTTCTAAGGAATATACAGTGCCAAATTCCATTTGAAAATATTTAGGATGCTGATCAATTTGTGATACTAATTAAGAAATTCTGGTACATTCATTCCCTTTAGCTCTGCAGTGAACTCAATTACAAATTTCTAAATAAAAATGTAAATGAGAACCTAGAAGCTCAATTTAGTGTATAAAAGCTCTCTTACTTCATTGAATTCCACATCCCTTGTTGCAGCCAAGTCAAACCCTTGCTGCTGACTCTCATACTGCAGGACTCTGATCATCATCTGGTATGCTGTCCTAACATCATTCCCATACAAAGAGTTTGTGTATTTGGTGGCATTCTGCAGCACTTTTGTGATATGTATGGACTTGTCTCCATCCATTATGGTCTCATTGCGATGTAACTTTTCATTCTAAAGTAGGAAGGGGGGGACAGGGGAAGTGGGAAGGGGGGATAGGGGGGAAAACAATTTAGCAACAGTATTTCATAAAATATCAATTAGTTCTTTCAATCCAAATACAAGCCATTGTTACTTCCATCATCTACAGACATATGGAGCAAAGGAATCATTTAATCCAAAAAGAGAGCCTACCCAGGAAGGGATGGAGAGGGCAATGTAATGGAAAAAGGGGGCTCCTAGAAAAGGTTCCCAAGGGTCTGAAGATTCAGCCTGATAAGAAATGGAGCCTGATGGTGTCAAGCTCCATAATAGTCATGATAGTCTAGGAAGTCATGATAGTTAGAACTGTCAGAACCCATTAATTAGATGCCTATAGCACAGAGGAGAATTGGTATAGCCCAGAGGAGAAATGACATAGCACAGAGGAAAATTCCATGGGTTCGATACATATGGCATAGTTTTGCTGTCAATCATTCTGGTGGCAGTAACTAGGTCATGGAGGAAAATTCTGCTATGCCTGAACCCAGTAACCAAATGCTACAATAGTGGAAAATTACAGTTTAGAAAAAAGTTCCCACCACTCATATGCAAATTCACATTATTATTGGCCAGTTCTAAATTATTCCTACGTGGCGACCAGCGATTGGCTTGCTAGCCATATAAGAGGTTGAAGCAGTTTCCGCCCAAGTTGGAGAACTCCACATACATCTCGTGGAGAGCTCTGAGCATGCTGTGGAGCCTAGCAAACTCCATGTGTGTCTTAGAGAAGAACTTAGGGGCCTGATCAACCTCTAATCGCTCCCCGTCACCGACCCAAGGGGGCCTAACACACCCCCACCCAAGACGTAAGACGACTGCCGGCTTGAACACCCCGAACACATTTGCAGACCGACCAAACGAACTTTGTAATTTCTGCCGACCCAAGTTTTGTTTACAACCGTAATCCAAGCAAGCTTCTGGCCTGCACTGTACGAGCAGTGTAAGTAAACAATCTTTTTTGTTCAATCAAAACGCTTGAGTATCTGATTCCACTCCAAGCGTCACAAGTACCCGCCCGCCGACTAGGGCTCCTAAGGCCCCGAACCCCGCGCTGCGGCTCTCGGCGGCGACAAGAACTAATGAGCATTAGGTTAGACAACAGAGGTAGTGGATTGTATTTAGCATGCCCAAGAACATCATACAGCTTTACTTACACCCGGACACCCACAAACACTAGATATAAATGAACAATTTAATTGATTAAATAACTTCAACATTTTAATCTACCAAAGAACTGTTATATTCAAGGTGCAATTTTAGTAAGCCCCCAGAAAAAATGTTAGGTAAGATGCTCGCCTGGTATAAAGTGGTGTTGCCCCACTAAAGGCAACAGAGGTATTCCAGTTCGTATCAGCTGAGGAGCTGGACTATAAAAAGTGACTGGATTGTACAATGAATATCTCTGTACTTGGTCACTAGCATTTAGCAAATGTAATTGCATCTGAGCCCTCACTTGATTTGGGAAATCTGTGTCTATTAGGGCACCAGCACATGTTACACTTAGGATGAGATTAAGGTGTTAATCATGCCAGAAAGGCCCACTCTACACATTAGAGGTATTGTGCAATTAACTGAGACCAGCTACATGTGCAAAGTACCTATCAAACCAGTAAAACATCCAATCAAGTATAAAGTTAGACCATGAAAATGTGTACTAACTTTATAGCTGGTTGCTTTCCAGCTTCAATTTGCACATGTAGCAGGGTCTGTCCCATCAGCTGACCAGGTTCCTAACCACAGGACTACACCATGTGAAGCTGGGGCTGTGAGTCCCACAGCTGAGGGGACTCTTGATCCCACTGGTGCTCCACAGCTGCTGGGACTGAGAGCCCTGCAGCTGCAGATTCTCTATTTCGGTGGCACCCATGGCTACCAAGACCAAGAGTCCTGCAGCCACAGAGAGTATGTGAAGGAAGGACTGACAGAGGCAGTGCTAGAGAAGGAAAAGGACATAGAATCCCACGAAGCTTGTGACCCCTGGCAGCAAAAAGTCTTCATCTCCACTTGCAGCAGTTTGCCTGGAGAACAGATATGGAGCCTTCACAAGTGAGGAGGAGGAACACAATCCACTGGTGGAAGAGGCATCCCCAAGGTTGGGAGGATTGAGACCACTGCCATCAAGAAGTGATGGGTGGTGGTAGTTGGAGACTCCCTTCTGCAGGGAACAGAGGCATCCATCTGATAGCTTGACCTGTTGTCTTGAGAGGTCTGCTGCTTGCCTGGAGCCCAGACTTGAGATGTCATGGAAGGATTACTGAGACTTATTCAACCATCTGACTACTGCTCCATGCTGCTTGTCCAGGTGGGCACCAATGATATTGCCCAGGGTAACTCTGAGCAGATCAAAAGTGACCACAGGGCTCTTGGTGCATGGGGATGGGGGATGAGGTGGTGATCTCCCTGATCTTTCCTGCCAAGGGGAAGTGTATGTAGCCTGCAGATCAATGCATGGCTGTGCAAATTATGTCACCAGCAGGGCTTTGGCTTTTTTGACCATAGAATGTTGCTCCAAGAAGGACTGATAGGAAGAGATGGGATCCACCTGACAAAGAGAGGGAAGAGCATCTTTACAGACAGGCTTACAGTATCCTTGTGAGGAGGGCTTTAAACTAGATTCATTGGGGGATGGAGACCAAAGCCCTGAGTTAAGTGGGTGACTTGGAGGAAGCACAACCAGGAGGAGACAACAAGGGAGGCCTTCTTATTCTTCATGAGAAAGTAGGGCAATTGGCTAGTTACCTCAGGTGTCTACACACAAATGCACAGGACCTGGAAAACAAGCATGAGGAACTGGAAGTCCTTGCACAGTCACGGAACTATGATGTGATTGGAAAAATAGAGACTTGGTTGGAGCTCGCATGACTGGAGCACTGTCATGGATGGGTATAAAATGTTCAGGAAGGACGGGCAGGGGAGAAGAGGAAGAGGAGGAGTTGAGTTGTATGTAAAAGAGCAGTAGGATTGCTCAGTGCTCCAGTATGAAACTGGAGAAAGGCCTGTTGAATGTCTCTGGGCTAGGGTTAGAGGGGACAGCAACAAGGGTGATGTCATGGTGGGTGTGTGGTATAGACCACCAGACCAGGAGGATGAGGTAGATGAGGCTTTCTTCAAAAAGCAAGCAGAAGTTTCCCAGTCACAGGCCCTGGTTCTCATTAGGGACTTCAATCACCCTGACATTCGCTGGGAGAGCAATACAACAGTACAGAAGTAATCCAGGAAGTTTTTGGAGATTGCTGGGGACAACTTCCCGGTGCAAGTGTTGGAATGGCCAACTAGGGGCCATGCTCTTCTTGACCTGCTGCTCACAAACTGGAAAGTACTGGTGAGAAATGTAGAAATGGGTGGCAACTTGGGCAGCGGCAGCCATGAAATGATGAAGCTCAGGATCTTGAGGAAAGGAAGGAGAGCAACAGAGTCTGCTTCAGAAAAGCAGACTTCAACTCATGCAGGGAACTGATGTGCCAGTCTGAGGGGAGAAGGAGTCCAGAAGAGCTGGTTGTACTTTAAAGAAACTTTACTGAAAGTGCAGGAACAAATCATCGTGATGTGCAGGAAGACTAGCAAGTATGACAGAAGATCAGAGTAACTTAGCAGGGAACTTTTCAGTGAGCTAAAACACAAAAAGGAAGCTTAAAAGGAAAGGAAACTTGGAAAAACGACGAGGGAGGAGTGTAAGAGTATTGCTTGGGCATGCAGGGATGAATTCAGGAAGGCCAAAGCACAACTAGAGTTGCAGCTAGCAAAGGAGGTGAAGGCTACCAGGAAGGGTTCTACAAGCATGTCAGCAACAAGAGGAAGATCAGGGCGCCTTCTTGAATGAGGAAGGCAACCTAGTCACAGATGTTGCAGAAAAGGCTAAAGTACTCAATGCCTTTTTTACCTCAGTGTTCACAAGCAAGGTCAACTCCCAGATTACTGCACCTGACAGCAGTTTGGGGAGGGGGTGGGCAGCCAACAGTGGTGAAAGAATACATTTAGTACCATTAAGAAAAGTTGGATGTGTACAAGTCTATGCAGCTGGATGTGATGCACCTGAGGGTGCTGAGGGAGTTGGCTGATGTGATTGCAGAGCCACTTGCTATTATCTTTGAAAACTCATGGTGACTGGGAGAGGTCCCAATCTTTAGTGCCCATCTTTAAGAAAGGGAAGAAGGAAGATATGGGGAACTACAGGCTGGTCAGCTTCACCTGAACCCATGGAAAAATCATGAAGCAGATCCTCAAGGAATCCATTTCTGAGCACTTGGAGGAGAAGAAAGTGATTAGGAACAGTTAGCATGGATTCACCAAAGGCAAGTCACACCTGATGAACCTGACTGCCTTCTATTATGAGATGACTGGCTCTGTGGATGTGGGGAGTGCAGTGGACGGGATCCGCTTTGACTTTAGCGAGGCTTTTGATACAGTCTCCCACAACATTCTTGGAAGCAAGCTGAGGAAGCATGGGCTGGATGAATGGACTGTAAGGTGGATAGAAAACTGGATGAGTAGCTTGGTGTCTACTTAGCGTCTGGTCTACTTGGCAGGGGTCAGTCCTGGGTTCAATATCTTCATCAATGACCTGAAAGATGGGATGGAGTATACCCTCAACAAGTTTGCAGATGGCACCAACCTGAGAGGAGTAGTAGATACACTGGAGGGTAGGGCTAGAATTCAGAGAGACCTAGACAAATTGGAGGATTGGGCCAAAAGAAACCTCATGAGATTCAATAAGGACAAATGAGAAGTCCTGCATTTAGGAAGGAACAATCCCATGCACCAGTACAGGAGTTAATGTGAACAATAAGCTGAATATGAGTGTCCTTGTTGTGAAGAAGGCTAATAGCATATTGGGCTACATTAATAGAAGTGTTGCCAGCCAACCAAGGGAACTGATTATTTCCCTCTACTCCGCACTGGTGAGGCCACATCTGGAGTATGGTGTCCAGTTTTGGGCCCCCCACTACAGAAAGGATGAAGACAAATTGGAGAGAATCCAGTGGAGGGCAACAAAAATAGTTAGGGGGGCTGAGGAATAGGACTTCTGACGACAGGGTGAAGGAACTGGGTTTATTTAGTCCACAGAAGAGAAGACTCAGGGAGGATTTAATAGCAGCCTTCAACTACCTGAACAGGGGTCCCAAAGAGGATGGAGCTAGACTGTTCTCAGTGGTGGCGGATAACAGACCAAGGGGCAATGTTTTCAAGTTGCAGCAAGGGAAGTTTAGGTTATATATTGGGAAAATCTCTCTTGCTAAGAGGGCTGTAAAGCACTGGAACAGGTTACCCAGAGAGGTTGTGGAATCTCCATCCTTGGAGGTTTTTAAGACCTGGCTAGACAAAGCCTTGGTTGGGATGATATAATGGGGGATGGCCTTGCTCTGAGCAGGGAGCTGGATTAGATGACCTCCTGAGGTTCCTTCCAACCCTAATTTTCTAGGACTGTATGACTAAGCCCCAGGTTCTTGATTGCTTGTTTAAGTTCCCAGGTATAAAGTGCCTGTGGAAGTGCAAGTTGGGGAGCTGGGAACTCTGCTCCCCAGCTTCATGCATCATTTCATGGTATGGGGCATGGGCAGCTGGAGAGCCAGGTTCCCAAGTTCCAGTTTTCCAGCTTCCAGGTTCCCAGCTGTCCGCACCCCACACCATGGGCACTGGCACATAAGGAGCTTTAAAGAATGGGCCTGCAGCTGTCCTTTTCAAAATTCCCTAAGCCCTCAGACCCAGACAGTGGGTGGAGGCTCCCTGGTCTCTGCCTCCCAGCACCAAGAGAGCTTTAAAGACCATGCTGAGGCAGCTTCCCCATTGAGGGCTTTAAACCCCAAGTCCAGCAGCTCTGGCTGGGCTGCCGGGGATCAGCAGCTCCTGGCAAGATTTTAAGTCCTCTGCAGTCCCTTCAGCTCCCTGCCCTCCTCCCCACAGCCTCTATCCCTCTCACTGGGAAGCCCAGCCAGAGCTACAGGTGTGGGGGTTTTGATAATCAGCTGATTGCCAGCCAGGCCAGGACAGTCCCAGTCTAGAACTGGATCCAGGGCTATCCCAGGTGGGACCAACAATCAGTTGACTGTCAGCTCGTTGCACTAGGGACTTGAATTGGATAGGCCAGCAATCAGCTGATTGTCAGCCCTGGCCTCAAACCACATCAGAGCTGGTTCAAGTGCCTGGTGTGGTGCCAGGAGAAAAATGACAATCAGCTGGTGCCACGACAAAAATGACAATCTTTGGCTACATCTGCAGCCACTTCTCTTTCAAGGGATGCCAGGCCTCCCTGCATTGAGAAGTAGTAATGATGTGATTTGGATCTGGTCCCTTATCTACACTCAGGCTTCCTGCCATACTTGTTTGACATGGAAGGAAGTGTGATTGCTGGGATTGGGGATCACATCCTATTGCACCATTAAATTAACATGTGCTAGGGCCTTAATTTAGATTTTGTTCTAAGTGTGTCCATTATGTGTGAACAGGTCATATTGTAGGTTGTAATATATGTGGAAACAGGAACAGGACAAGTTGGTAAGACTTGCAAAGTACAAGAAAACATTTCCTACCATGAGTTTAAGATCCACAAAGCTAATGGTGGTGCAGTTAAATAGCTCAGGAGGCAGCCAGCCTTTCTCACTGTTACAGTGCCGAACTGCATTCCCTAAAGTAAAACAAACAAAGGGTTATATAGGGTTGTAACTGTTCTGTACAAACCAGAAAGAGCATTTGTTACAAAACTAGCTTTTTAGTTTCAAACTGCTTAAAGAAAAGCACATATTCTACCTTGCAAGCAGGCATTCCTCTGCCTCCCATGAATTATACCATTTTCTGATATTTGTGAAGTGTTGTTCAGCAATAGTTTGTGTTTTGCTTCTAAATTTCTGCCTAGGCTCTCTCACTCTAGCTGCCACAGCATCTTTTGGTGAATTAAGCAATTTGTATTTAGAAAATCTGATAAAGGTTCTGCAATTATTAAATTTTTAAGATGAAAAAATCATCTATTCTATCCAGAGATGGAATACATGAGCTCCTTCAGGTTTGCCTCTTGGAAAAATATTACCTGGGTTTCCTAACATTGGAACACTGGCTATGCTATGTCTATGCAAAGATAATAGAGGACATTAAAATAAATGTAATATCCCTTTGTTTATTTCTGAATTGTTTCCAAGCACCTTACTATTTTAATGTATTCATTATCTGAAATTATTTGCTAAATAATTTCCATCAGTGATTCTCATTTGGTAAAGTCTCCACAAAAAGTTAAATGCATTTGAATTAACTAATTAGCTTAGTTTGGATACATAATCTTGTGATACTGTTTATGTGCCTTTACTGGATGGTGTAACACAGCATCGGGTTTCCAGCCTGAATGCCCATATTTGTTTTCCATTGATGTTCTGAAATACATACTATGCTATATCCACAAACATCTGCCTGTTAACTCATTTGTTATAATATAATCAGAAAGTAACTACAAGAGTGTGTATAGAGTTGGAAAAATATTTACCAATTTTTAATAACAGTTAAAATACAAAAAATTCAATTTATATCCATGATGTAACCAAAACTAGAGACTCTGGCTACCGAACTTTGTCAAACTGAGGAGTTACTGATCATACTCACTGGTACTATTTTCAAATGTTCTATAATCATTTACAATTCCACTTGGACACTGGTCACAGTAGGTAAAAGTTGGAAAGCATACAAATTAGATATATTTTTCCCTCAACAAACTTTTTCACAAACTATATGAGCATAAACTATTTGTAGCCTACAGGTGGCCACTGCAGTATTCTCAGAGATATTTCCAAGAAACCTGCATATGAACAGGTTTTGGAGTTGACTGTCCAAGTGCCCTCCTTTTCCCACTTCTCTTCATCAGTAAAATTTCTTTAAGAAAATGTTCACGCTTCCCAATTGAAAATATTTTTCTATATCAAGAAACAGACTTTACTGGGAAGGAGCATTAGAGCACTATCTAATTTTCACACAAAGTTTTCATGTATTGTCAGCCCAAATAGTGAACTACTTTTTATGAAGAAGATGCAGTCATGCCTTTATGCATAAGAGAATGCAAACACTAGGAATCTAAATGGTCCAAAAAGATAACATATTATTGGGAAAATGTAGTTATATTCTGCCTAAAAGTTCATTAGAAGAAAGCTAGTACAGTAAGTTTCATATAAATAGGACTCCATATTTTATCTCTAGCAAGTGAGTTACCTCACTAAAGGTCACATGCCCTAAAAGTTACACCTATAATGATTACTTTATAGTGAACAGAAAGTGAAGAGACTAAGTTTGTTTGCAGATAGAGTTTTAGCTTCTCTTTTTATTGCATTTGTTTCTTTATTTACTGTATTTTTAATATTCTTTCATTTGTTAACATAAATGTGTTTTAATTAATTCCTGAGATGGGAAGTTTTAATTAATTCTTGAGATGGGAATTATATCTAAATAAACCCTTCAGCTTCTGATATCTATACACTATAATGTAATCTCTAGATTTTATCAATAACTTCTCTTTATGTGTACACATGCTCTTTCACTCTTTTCCCCACACCAGACCAGCAGATAAGCATGTTAATATTCTACCCAGTGCGACTTACCCATTGAACCCTTGGGACATGGCACAGCAGCTGGCTGTCCAAACTTTGTCTGAGGCCACCAAATGCCAGCTTCAAATGCTTTGGGACATCCATTGTAAACCACTGTGGCAAGAACAGAAATGATGCAGTTTTTTCAGCAATGTAAAAATCACAGAAGTCAGCAAGATAACGCAGTTACAGATGCAGAAATAATTTCTCTGCAGCTAGAAGTTTACTGAAATCACCAACAACTCCCATATGGAGC